CGTTGAATAGATGTGAACAATACACCACAAACGTTTTATTTCAAATTGTCGTTATTATAGTTTGAGAAGTTATTATTACATCACAAAGTGGCAGCAGTTCAAATAGTATTTGCTGGATATCTTTTAATTCCATAGTCTGTACAGTGACATTTCTTGTGATGCCATGAACAGTTTAAGAATATTATACACTGACATTTCCAACCAGTCTTATTAACCTTGACTTTTGTAATAGCTGCATTTCATGCTCACCCACTCATGAGTGCGATACTACAAAGTTGCTTTCAACAGAGATGGCGATAACCTGAGGGCAGAGCTGTGCTAGTCTGCAGTCACATGGTCAGTGTGGTGCCATTCAAATCTTAGCTCTACTGGCTTTTGTGCTTCCCTGTTTCAATAGTTGCTGTTTTGGGAAGCTGTAAACAGTCCAAGCACTGTCCTGAAATAATAAAGCTACCACAGGCTCATGCCCTTTTAAAGTCACCTTTCGTAGAAACCTACTGCATTTCTTTTATCCTCTTTTTTCAATATTACATGTTCTGAAAAATATTTGAGTTTTTGGAAGGACAAATGTAAAGTTAATACTGTGCTTGAGAACTAAATCAACACTGATACTGTCAATATTACATATTTTTTAGAGTAATAACTATGTGTTCTGTGCTTGATTTAAATAGTTCCTAAACCAGTTCACATTATGGTGGGTGTGTGTGAGAGCTTTCTGTGCCGGGATAAGAGGCTGCTTCTCTGTGTATTTGCATGACTCATGTGTGTGCTTGTGGCACTGCCTACAGTTGTGACACTGTATCTCATCATGTGCTGTTCAGCTCTCATAATGAGCTCAATACTTAAATCTCCCTCAGAGTTTTACTCCCATATTTGTTACCAACTCACCGACTTATGGCATGGGAACCTTTCTGTTGCTCGAGGAAAGATGGACTGGATAGATAAATTATAAAGATACATTTCAGTAAACATCTGAGAATTGTTTATAATCAATAAACATCCCTAAAATGCTGTCAACTTAGGACCCTGATCCAAGAAACAGGTTGACTGAATGATCTTGATTTTATTATTATAAATATATTTATTTATTTATTATAATTTTATTTTATTTTAAAATGACTACCAATTATCTTACTCTAAAGTTATTCAGACAACTCGAAGCAACACCTTGTTGAAACTGGCCCTAGTGCTGGAGAGATGAGCTCTTCTATCCACGTTTGAATAAAGATGAGGCTTTAGGCTGTAGGGCAAAGGAAACCGATGTTTAGTGTCATTGAAGTTTCAGAACAAATATTTGCATAGTGTGAGGAAATACACTAGAAGGGTTATATAATTCATACTTGGCTGCTGAAGTTAAAGTTGTGTAAATAGCACATTTTGTGTATGCTAAATGAATGATTGCTTTCTAGATGAAGTTTGGATATGTCAGATGAAATGCCAGATGAACCCGCGGTGTCTCACGGAGAGATACCGCGGGGCCTTCCTTCCTGCAGCAGTCAGACTATATAACCACAACGGCCCCTGGTAGAACCCCCACACACACAATACAGACTATGCTATAACACCCCTTGTTGTGAAATACAAATGATGTGCAATACATATATATATATACCTGGCTGCTATATCTTCAAAACTGTTACAGGATGTGTATTTTTAAAATTGTGTTTTGAATCTTTAATCTTTTTTTATGCATGCTTCTTAGTTAATATGAAGCTGTGGCTCTTCTCTGCTGTAACAAATGTAACTGTCCCCTCGTTGGGACGAATAAAGGTATTCTGACTCTGGTATAAATAGGGTCTTACTGTTAGTGTGTCTATTTCCCCCGTTCTCTGCTCTGCTTGAATTGGGCACAGTCACAGTGCAAACATAAATATTAATTTGATAGATTTAATCATGACGGATAAATTATACTTTTATGCTTCAATAATCTGCATAATCTCTCTGAGTTTACAAAGACAGCTAATGAGAAGACTTTTTAACAAGATTAATGAAGATATATTCATTTATTTAGACTCTATCTAATTCAGTTATTACACTGCCCCAAGATTGAGCATAATATTGGCACTGCGGTACATCCGACATATGAATACACCGAGATAAAGCATCTCATCAACATGTTTAGGAGCTACAGCTGAACTTCAGAGGCCCATTTTTTTTTAAGTTCAGAACAAGACATAATTGTTTCTTACTTTTCCAATATTAAATGTATATCTCATCCGTGGTTTGGTAATCGGTACAGACATATATTATAAAAAATAGACTGCACATGCACTCTTATTTTGTACCTTATTCATTGGCAGTATTTTTATTATCATTGAATATATTCAAGCTCTGCTTCTTGTCTTGTGGACACAATTATTTCTTTGCATTTAGGTTATCCGTTTTTTTTTCTTTTTCCATCAGCTTAGTATTTTCTGGCTACTGATAAATATCCTGCTCAACACAATCCTTAGGAGTTTAAGGTGTGTTGCGATCTTTGTATGTGTGACTCCATATGTAATGCTTTATACTCTTGTTGTATATATATATATATGTTTATAAGCAAACCAGGTTTTCCATGCAACTTTTCCAACAAAAGCAATAGTCTCCCGTGTTGTGTGCATTACCTGTAGTGCGCTCCTTCACAATTACATTTTGTTTGTCACACAATTTTGCCTTTAGAAAGGTCAAGTCTACTGAGGAATTACAAAGCATGTTTTTACTTGAATTTTGTATTGCTAATAAGATTTTCTTAACCCCAAATGTCTGATAGAATGAAATTATAACATTTTTGTCAGACAATGATGGCTTGGTAGAAACACACGATGACAAGGCCTTACAGCATTTCCGGAGAACTTGATATTATAATAACTAATTAAAGTAAAACCAAATGTCCTCCTATACTCTTTTCGCAAAGGAATCGTGGCTTCTGATTGTATGGTGATAGTTCCAGTGAGTGAGTTCAAATGACGTCATACAGATCGTCCGTTCAATTGGGAATAACAGGCGTTGCTTTTTAAAAGCTGTGCAATGGTAGCCGATTTGAAACAAAGTCTATCCTTTGTCCGTCTTTGATGTGACACCCAGTGGACTTCTATAATAAAACTAAAATCAATAGAAGGATGATATCAAAAAGAGATAATGTAATATTAACAATAATTGTATTTTGTAAGATTAATTAAAAAAGTTATGTTGTGTTATGTGACACTGATATGGCTTTGTGTACCCAAATTGACTCTCAAGTTGTGGGATATTGCTCTGCGAATTCATTCTTAAAGATCTGCATGGATTCATAATCATATTTGATTAAGGAGGGACCCAGAGCTAATTTGATTAGGTTATTTAGAGGAATATGTGTTTGGTAATAAACATTTATTATGATGAAAAAGTTTACTTTAATAAGCGGGAGAAGCCCAGAGGACATGGAAGCTTAATTGTTAGATGTTAAATTGCGTTGTTGCGATGTTGCCAAGATAATGGGCAAGGAAAGGCCCTCAAGTCAAGGCAATTAACCAAACAGTGGTTTGATTGTTGTTAAATTGATTAGAAAATGTCTAAGTACTCCATTTGAAAATTAGCTATTGTTTCACGCAGGTTTAGACTCTAAGAGAATGCTGGGCTTAATGACACATACCCTGAGTTAGAAGTGGGGAAAGTTGTTGCTCAGGTCAGAATATTGTGACACGTTTTTCAGATATGAAAAACGAACACAAATGACGGTGAACAAAAGACATGGACATCCCAGACAGAGCCTTTCATGCATAGTGCCGGATGAATATGACGTGAAATAACAGCTTGGACAACACAAAGTGTGCACGGAGACAGAGGTTTGTTTTTCTATGTTTCATAGCTTTATCCCATAACTGTTGATCAGCTGTTGCAGACAAAACTAGTGATAGATATGGCAGTTTAAATGTCGGCTCAGTGTTGCCCACAGCGACAGCAGATGAAGATTCACAGAGAGAGGTGCAGGTTAGAGCCAATCTGTTTGCTCGCCCCAGCATCAGTAGTTTCCTGATTAGAATGGTGGAGAAATCTGCGGCTAGAGGCAGGCTTTATGGCCATCACCACCCCACATCTCCCTACTCATTAGTGCTTCACAGCCTAGCGCCACAGCATATGGCGGTGCTGCTGCTGCTTCCCATTTGAGGTGTGTTTGAAATGGCTGTCCCTTGCAGAGCCACAAGCCTTTGGCAGTAGCCTGTCTTATTGTGACTCAGATGAAGATAAACATCTGTAGTAAAGGGAACTTGTGGTTTTAATTTTGTTATATGAGCTATTTGTAACATTTTGTGAGGACGCAAAGGATTGTAAACACACAAAGATAATTGAGAAGTTGGGAGTTTTCTTTGAGAGCAGTTTATATTAACAATTAGTGAACATGAATGATTCTTTTGGGCCACCTGCACTACAAGAGATGCTCTTTAGAACACACAGAGATAATATTACCCTTTGGTGGCCAACCATGCGAGACCGTAACATATTGCCCTGCTAATGTGTATTAATCTTGGGATACACAAAACGATATCCAAACAGCACTTACTTGCATGTTTCCAATGGGTTCTCTGAACAGGTGTGCTTTCTCATTATGTCTCTGGGATTTGAGTAGCTTCCCGATATGTCTTTTTTTATGTATCCGTTTGGTTTGTGTCTTCAAGTGTGTGTGCTTGGGATGTTTCACTCTCACACAAGATGTTACATTCATTTGAAACACATCATTTGAGATCATCAAGTATTATCCTAACTATTCTTCCACATGTACAGTGTCCAGGATATGCTCATTAAACAACTAAAACACATGTATCCTGTGGTTTCAGGATTTTATCGCATTGTCCTTATGCCTCTCTGGTGTATACAATTTCATTTGTCAGTCGGAAACTTAATTGGTTATAAGAAAACGAGATACTATCCAAAGGATACGGTACATGTGCGCACACTTCCAATGGGATACATACTGTGCCCTTTGCTGTTGTCATTTTCTTTTGGATCTTGTTTTTCACACTTTGCCCTCCCTCCAACAGAACATACATATAAAAACATTGGCTGATGATATGGTAAGGTGCTCGGTTTAATTTTGCTGTGCCTAGTTTTGTTTTACATCCTCTCATGTTTTGTCACTGCTGCATGGAACTTATAACTGAAATATATGGATGGATCAAATGTGCCAGTATTAAATAATTGAGTTTACATTTTAAACCTAACATGAGACACTGATGATAGAATACATTTATGTACTTTAAAGTGTGACAGTTAATGTTACAGCAAAGGCTTATCTTAAACCCTATCCTAAGTACCATTGTGGTAGTCCACCATACTATTGTGTAACTAACACATTATTGATCCTGGTGCTATTATTCAGCAGTCCTACGTCTTTCATAATGAACGGAAATCAACCCGTCACATTTCGACTTGTATAAGAAGCTCATAGATCATTTAGTGTGCAATTATCAGTAGCGTTTCCGATTAGACGTTTCTCCCTGGAGCTTTTTTAATACCCTTTGACAACAAGTAGCTTTAACTTTGACACTTAAAAGAAGTTTATGCTGCTTTTGTGAGCAATGCACATAGTATGTTTGATCCATCCAGTAGTGTCTCAGCAAACTAATAGTAGTGACGTCATGTATGTCATCATATAATCTTTGTGTTTCCATTTCATTTATGTGTTCATTCATCCGGCACGTCAACTCCATTTCCGTTTTAATACATTCGACTAACAATTACTTTTTGCATGAAGTTTATGTACTTTTTCTGCTTTTGTATTACACTTTATTAAACACTTTTGTGAGACTGATGAACGCCATCAGTCTCAACATGATTAACAAACAAACTCAACTGAAGCTCACACTGATGTCATGTATGCTAAAACTATTCTAATACCATATGCATAAACCAGGTAATACTATGGGTATGATGGTAAGTACAGTCCTGAAACGTTTCATACAGTTTACTTTATGAAATATAAATGTTCTTGTTTTCACGCCATCCCATTCTCATGAAATCTCAGGAACGCCTGGAGGGAATTTCTTGAAATGTCTTGAAATGTGGCACTCACCTTGCCTTGAAATCAAGGATAAGCTGATTACATTTTGGTGGTAAAAGGTCACTGTGATCTCACGTCCATCTCATTCTCAGGAAAGCATTTAGGGACCGTCTTAAAGTTTGGCAAGGTCACTGTGACCTACAAAAAACACAGATACACCTTCAAAGCTGCCCTTGCTATGTGGGGATTCTGTTAAATGTAAATTGAGGTGAACAGTGTCCTCAAAAAGCAAGAAAGACAAAAGCCCTCTGATGTGTGGGAACATTACATTTGAATTACTGGCAATTTAAACATCTTTTCTCACAGACAAAGCAACACACAGTGAGCCTTGGCCTCATACAAACTGGAATGTTAGCAGTGCCATATTTAACATTTCAAACACTGTGTTTTCTTTCAGCGTGACCGCATTACCAGTTTCCGGAAAACGGGGAATAAGAAGGAGAAGCCCCTTATACAGCACTCAACACAGCACTCCTCAGATCCCCTCTTTACCCAGGTGGAAATGCCTGTTCCTCAGCCCCTTTTTGACGACCGCTCTATGAACCTCTCGGAGAAGGAGATCAATGACCTCTTCGAGAAGATGATGGTGAGCTTTGTGTTTCTTTTGTTGTGTTTCCTCTGCACATGGTCATCTCTAGCACTCCACAACAGCTTCTTTACAGCTGCCACTGAATAGTCAGTAAAAAGCACAGCATTGTGAAATCGTAAATGCATCATAAATCTGTGCACAAAGGCAAACAACATCCATAACGTTCATCTGCTACTTAGTAATTATTTCTCTATTTCTCTAATATATCATTCCAATAACTTGCATATAGACTCTTGTTGCACTATTTCACTTTTTAAAACTATTTTTCTTTTGTATTTACTATTTACTTGCACAATATTTTTCTGTTTATCTGTGTTATTGGGTTGCGCTTTTAGAGAAGCCTGTGACCTAAGATTTTCTTCTGCATAACTACACTGTAGCTATGTTCGTATGACTAAATAAAGAACCTTGAACAAGTAGAGAGACAGAGCCGCTGTTGTGTATTTTGATGAGAAGAGTTGGACAAGGCTGAAAGTTAAGTGCTGGGACCAGAGACGGGGTCGAATCTTTTAGAATTTTGTAAAATGTGACTGTTATTTAGTTTAACTACGATCTAGGTAGGACATCTATAAGTGCTTTGTATCCAATTGTATGATGGTAAACCACTGAGGTAACTTGGGTTTCTGAAATGCTGTAAATACTGAGCAGATTAAAAGCCCACAAATCAATAATGCCAGGCATAGCAGCGTAACTAGAAAGCAGTGTACACAACTCCAATGGTGTCATGAAACAGTGCCCTCTCATGGGGTTACACAGGACGTCTTCTTTAGAGAATGAACCTGAGTCGCAGTACCCAATGTGTGAAATGCATTCAGAAATATCTTATTCAACCATTTTGAGGGATGTGAGAATAGTTTTACAAAATGATAGCAGCTATATTTGACTGAGAAATGTAAATTAGACTTATCTGCGCAGTATTTATAGTGAAGAAGAGTGCCTTTTGCATTCCAATGTTAAGTGCTTTCGAAGCAGAGTCCCACCTACATATTCCCTAGGCCACTGTCGAAAAGCTCCAGACTTTGAAATTCACTTCGCACTCATCTGTGGGGTCACATTTCTGTCACACTTGTGATTTTCCCCATTGAAATGCATTTTTGGCCTTATGTACTGAAAGATTGAAATCTAACAAAAAGCTTTCAGCCCATTTCTTTGAAGTGTGGAGCTGAATCACTCTGGCTTCATTGCTTAGGTTGTGTGTGGATAATGTCTGAGTGTGTATGTGTGTGTGACACGGTGCTTGCCTTTTCTTTTTTTCTGATACAATGGTCTTTATTGCCAAGGCCAGAGAAATGCGACCGATGCTCCTGGTTTCCATCAGGCTGCTGCTCAGTGTTTTCTTGCCTGGGTGCTCATCCCTGTCACTCAGCTCACCTCTCAATTACTATGTTTGTGCTCACAGTAGCGTGACATTAAACCCAGGCTTAAATTTGCGCAGTGACAGACGACACAGAGGGCATGCTTGCTGCTCTGACATTTGACAGGCCTTGACACTTGGTGTATGGAAGTATAATTACAGTAATACAATCTAAATCAAATGGATTATTCTCTGAAGTACTTTTGAAGCCACCTGACCACTTGCTCTTACGGCCCGTCCACACTACAGCTTCGACAGCTTCAAAAACGGTTTCCAACGCGTCTGCCCATTCACTTTGAATGGGGTGACGTCACGTTGCCTTGCTTTTCTCCGAACTGAATTGTGGGTAGCATAGCGGTCCGTCTCCGCCGTCGCCAGCGTCAGCCAATCAAATCCCGTTTATGCAAATCTGACAGTTCAAGCGATCAAACCGCGTGCAAGCTGGGAGAGCCGTTAATTTCCTCATATTCCAAACGAGAAATTACGGTAGCAAATCACCCGGTTCTTTACGACCAGAACTATTTACCGGGATACAAACCGGAGGAACCAGGCATGGAGGAAGGTGGCAGAGACAGTGGGTGAAACTGGTAGGTTTTCGCCTGTTTGGGGAGTTTGTATATATTTGTTTTTGTGTTATAGTGGTATATTATATAGAACTTTTTTTATATGCTCCTCTTTATATGTGGGGTTTTTTTGTTTTGTATGTTCCGGGGTTTTTCGGGTTTACGTTTTTTTTTTTTATATGCTGTATATAAAATCCCCTTAAGCTTTTTGTACATGTCTGTTTTATGTTGTGTTGTTTGTTGTTGGGCTTTCTTTGTGTATATGATGTTTTGTCTAGTTTCGAGTGCTGTAGACTTTTTTTGGTGTGCAGAATGAGTGGACGGTTTAGCATGAAAGCATTTGACAAGTCATTCTCCTGTTAACAGTTCCCTGGCTCAAGGTGTCCCCACTGCTTCGAGCGCCAGCCAAAGGCATAGTCCCTTCTCGTTTCAAAGAACTCAATTTTAGCTTCATGAGGATATTGAAATGTGTGTACGGCACTTTCAGCTAAAGAATGCGAGTGCTGGTACAAAAGCGTACATGAGGTGTCAGTGTTTAGTGGAGGAAAAATAGCCTTTTAACAGGACAATTGTGGCTTCTTTGGGTTTCTCTGCATGGCTGTCTGCACACTATAGCCACTGTGTGCCAAAACTGTGGGCTGTGCCGCGGTGCGTG